ACATTATTCTTTAGTGTTGCATAGTATTCCATTGTGTGTATGTCCCACAGTTTAGCCACTCCTCAGTTGATGGGCACTTAGGTTGTTTCCATTTCTTTGCTATTGTGAATCGTGCTGCGATGAACATAGGTGTGCTGCTTGCATGGGGATTGATTGTGGATCCGAGTAAAATGAAATCCTTGACAACTTCAATATTTTTTCAATTGTTCATGTTGCTTATTGGTCCAATCATGAGAATTATTGTTTTCTTTATGTGAGGTGTAAGCCATACTGAAGACTGTAGTCTTTGATCTTTATCAGTAAATGCTTCAAGTCCTCTTCAGTTTCCGGGAGCAACATAATGCCATCTGCGTATCACAGGTTGTTAATGAGCATTCCCCCAATCCTGACGCTTCATATAGTCCACTTTCTCAGATTGCTTACCCAGCATACAGATTGTGTAAGTATGGTGAAAAGGAAGTGTTCTGAAATTCCCATTCCTACTACGGTTATCCATAATCTGTTATGATCCACACAACTGAATGCCTTTGTATAGTCAATAAAACCCCAAAGGTATTCTCTGCTTTCATACATGAAGAAAAAGCCACTAAAAATAAAAGAAAGAAAAGACCAACATGGATGCCAGAAGAGACTGAAATTTGCTCTTGAATGGAAGGTAATTAAAGCAAATGGGAGAAATGATGATATCAAAGAGCTGAACAGAAGATTTCAAAGGATGGCTCGAGAAGAAAAAGTATTATAATGACATATGCAAAGACCTGGATTTAGAAAATAAAAAAAGGGAAGAACATGATCAGCATTTCTCAAGCTGAAGGAACTGAAAGAAAAAAACTCAAGCCTCAAGTTGGATTCTATGGGGAAAATATTGAACAATGTAGGAAGCATCAAAAGAAGATGGAAGGTATATAGAGTCACTGTACCAAAAAGAATTGGTCTACAGTCAACCATTTCAGGAAGTAGCATATGATCAAGAATTGCTGGTTCTGAAGGAATAAGCCTAAGTTACACTGAAGGAATTGGCAAAAAAAAAAAAAAAAGGCTCCAGGAATTGATGGAATGCCCACTGGGATGTTTCAACAAACAGTTGCAGCCTGGAGAAGGTTACTCATTTATGCCAAGAAATATGGAAGACAGATACTTGGCTGATTGGAAGAGCTCCATATCTGTGCCCATTCCAAAGAACGGCGGATTCATCAAACAATATCATTAATATCACATCAAGTAAAACTTTTGCTGAAGATGATTCAAAAATGGTTGCAGCAGTACATGCACAGGGAACTTCCAGAGATTCAAGTTGAACTCAGAAGAGGGTATGGAATGAGGGATATCACTGTTGATGTCAGATGGATCTTGGCTGAAAGCAAAGACTACCTAGAAAGAGGTTTACCAGTTTTACTGGCTATGCAAAGGCATTCGACTGTATGGATAATAAATTATGGTTAACATCGTAAAGAATGGGAATTTTCAAACACTTAATTGTGCTCATGCAGAACCTGAACACAGACTAAGTCTCTGTGTACTAATAGAACAAGGGGATACAGCATGGTTTAAAATCAGGCAGATGTGTCTCAGGGTTTTACCTTTTCACCATTCTTATTCAACATGTATGCTGAGCAAATAATTCAAGAAGCTGGACTATATGAAGAACACAGCACCAAAACTGGAGGACTCATTAACCACCTGCGATATACAGATGACACAACCTTGCTTGCTGAAAGTGAAGATAACTTGAAGCACTTACTGATAAAGATCAAAGACTACAGTCTTCAGCATGGATTACACCTCACCATAAATAAAACAAAAATTCTCACAACTGAAGCAATAAGCAACATCATGATAAATGGAGGAAAGACTGAAGTTGGCCAAGATTTCATTTTACGTGGGTCCACAATCAATGCCCTGGGAAGCAGTAACCCACAAATCAAAGGATGTATTGCATTGGGCAAAGCTGCTGCAAAAGATCTCTGTAAAGTGTTTTTTTAAAAAAACAAAGTCACTTAGAGAACTGTGGTGCACCTAACCCAAGCTGTGGTATTTTCAATATCCTCACGTGCATGCAAAAGCTGGACAATGAATAAGGAAGATTGAAGAACTGATGCCTTTGAATTGTGACATTGGCAAAGAGTATGGAATGTACTGTGGACTGCCGGTAGGAGGAACAAATGTGTCTTGGAAGAAATACAGCTAGAATCCTCCTTAGAAACAAGGTTTGGGAGACTTTTTCCCAAGTACTCTGGACACGTTATCAGGAGGGACCAGTCCCTGGAGAAGGACATTATGCTTCATAGAGGGTCAGCAAAAAAAGAACAAGACCCTCAATGAGATGAATAGACATTTGGTGCCACAGTGGGATCAAACATAGCAAGGGTCATCAGGATGGTGTAAGAGTGGGCAGTGTTTCATTCTATTATAGGGGTCGCTATCAGTGAAAACCAACTCGACTGCACCTAGTATCTCTTTTCAGAAAATGTTAGTATTATATTCATTAAATATTACCTACTTGCCCTAACATTGA